TGAGGTGTGAGGGGAGGTGCTGCTGCACCTTTGGCAGCCTGGCTCTTTGCCTTCTTTCCCGGGACTTCTCCTGTTTTGTCTCGTGCGGGGTCGTGATTCTTTATCTGCAATCTTGTCTTCATTCCACACAATGTGCTGTCAGTGGATGAAACCCACATCAGGTTCCTCTTTCTGGTTCCCCTGTCAGCTCTGGAACCTCAACATAGACATGTGACCAGTGAATACTGTGACTGATGTAGAACATTCCTGTAAACAGACTTCCTGGTTGTTTCCACAACTTCTGAGCCTGGCGGTTTTCTTGCCCTCTTACTCCCTGCTCTTAGCCATCCCTGGCAACGGGAAGGGGCTGCTTACCTGGGTCTGCGGGTCCTGGGAGGAGGTGGTCTCTGGTCTAGTGGTGACCCAATGGGAAGGTACCTGTTTTCTCCCCACAGGAATCTTGTCGATCGGCCTGGCTGCTGCCTACTACAGTGGAGGTGAGGAATGTCATCTGCTCTGCCCTGTCCCTAGAAGCTTCCTTAGCTGATTGGAAAATAGAGAAAAAAGGAAACCCTGTCATTTGTAATCTGACAGGCATGGTTTTGGGGATTGCCTCTGCCTCTAAATGGGGCTTCCCTGGTGGCTCAGAAGGTAAAGAATCCGCCTGCAGCGTGGGAGACCTTGTTTCTATCCCTGGGTTGGGAAGATCCCCTGGAGAAGGGAATGGCTATCCACTCTTGCCTAGGAAACCCCATGGACAGAGGAACCTGGCAGGCTATAGTCCATGGAGTCATAAGGAGCTGGACGTGACTGAGCAACTGACACATTCACTTTCTGCCTCTAAATGGGTTGCAGGCACGGTCTCACCTTCGTGTGCTGGTGTTTCCCCCACAGCTTGCATTCATTTACATCAGCATTTTCATGTCATAAAGTATTTAGAAAGGCACTCCGATGTCTGCCTCAGGTGTTGGGGCAGGTATAGCCTGTGCCCTCAGCAGCTCCCTGGAAGGAGTCCCCCCTCCCTGCTCTCACACACGGTGCCATGAGCGTCACCTCGGTGGAGAGCTGAGGGCAGAGCTGGCGGACCATGCCCTGTCCTGAGTGATAGGGCCCACAGCGGCGGCCTTGACAGGGTTGGGGTGTCCTTGGAGTCATGGGCAGTCACTGGGCCCCCGGGGCCACTCCTGCCCAGTGTCTGGGAAGCACCTATTCTGGGAGGAGGCACCCCCTGCGGGCACTTTGACTTTTGCCCCTCTGCTGCCTACCCATCGCGGCCTCCTGTGTTTGCTTCCCAGATAGCCTGGGCTGGAAGCTCTTCTACGTCACGGGCTGTCTGTTTGTGGCCGTGCAGAACCTGGAGGACTGGGAGGTGAGGCTGATGCAGGAAGACTGCCCAGGCTTTGGGGCTCCTGGGTTTCCTTGCAGTGCATGTCAAAGGAAGAAAGACTCCAGGGGTCTAATGCCCTCCACCCCAATCCTGAAATGTGAGCCCAGTGGTTTCTGGCCAGCTAGACTTGGCCCCTGGACATTGCCTATTTGTGACCATTTGTGGGCCACAGAATCCTCTGAAGCTGCTCTCCTAGATGTTCTAGAAGGGCGAGGCCACCTCCTTCGCCTCCCTTCTGTCCTTCCTCATGCGTCCTTTGGGTTGCTTGGCCCCAGTATTGCTCTCTGACCTGTTCCCTCATTTGATAACCTTATCCTCGGTACTCACCTCTCTCAATTGTGGAGAGGAGAAGTACCTGCTTCTCTTTACACCCGAGACCCTGGAGGGGTCCAGCTGCAGGGGTCTGGGGTCTGACTGGGATGGGAAGGAAGAGGGCTGCCTCCTTGAGTGTCTGCTTTGGGGAGGGTGGGGACAGAGTTGGCAAGTTTGCGTGTATTGGACTGGCGCACAGGCCAGCAGCCAGATGACCACCTTGTGGCTGGTGTTCTAGGAAGCGGTCTTCAACAAGAGCACCGGGAAGGTAGTGCTGAAGACGTTCAGCTTGTATAGGAAGCTGCTGACTCTTTGCAGAGCAGGCCATGACCAAGGTAAGGCGTGGGGAGTGAACAGGACATGGGTTACTCTGGAGTGGACGGAAGGCAGTGAGAGTCTGTGTGACCTGGGAAGGGGAAGCTGGCTGCTCGGTGACCGGAGCTGTGTCCTGCCTCGTGGATGCTGTGTGTACCCAGATGTGCCCTGGACCAAAGAAAATTGCTGGGCAGCCCCCAGCTCAGTGACTGGCCACTAGAGACCAGGAAGGCATTTTCTAGCAGTTAAGGAAAATGAGGCAGAAAGCTGGGCAGTACCATGCTTAGCCACCCCCTGACATGTTAGACTGAGAACAGGTGGGCTTTTCAAGGCAATAGGCCTGCCGGATGTTCCCTCTCACTCAGACTGGATGTTAACTGGCAGTCACATGACCCTGTGCTGTGGTCACTTCCTGTGACATCTAAGGCTGGGTCCCGGCATCCTCTGGGCCTCCGACCTGGAGTGACACGCGCTCCTTCATGACAAGCAGGCTCTAATCCTCTGCACTGTGTCCCCAAAGCCACTGTGCCAGCATCCAGGAGAGAGGGGCAGGGTGGGCGGGGGACATGGCCACTGACCTGGCCCTGCCCACAGTGGTGGTCCTGCTCAGTGACATCCGGGACGTGAACGTGGAGGAGGAGAAGGTCCGGTACTTCGGGAAGGGCTACGTGGTGGTGCTTCGGTTTGCCACAGGCTTCTCCCACCCCCTCACCCAGAGTGCTGTTATGGGCCACCGCAGGTAAGCCAAAGACAGGAGGCAATGGGCCAGGGCTGCCCACTATGCCCTTACCCCCAGGCAAGTGGCCCTCATAAGGGACTGTGGCAGGACAGAGAGAGAGGATTCGGGAACATGGAGGAGGTGGGGCTTGGGGAGACAGGCATGGTACCACCTGCTAGGGAGTATCAGGGGTCCCTGCAGGGATAGAGAGGGGAGGGGCACATCAGGGGTGCCCAGTGGCATAGAGGCCTGGGTTAAGGTCAGGTGAGGGTGGGGACCGGGACGTAAGGTGTGTGGTCCTGGTGGGGATCCCTAGAGGGTGATGCCTGTGAGGAGACTGGTGTGGTCTTCTGGCTCCTGCTGGGAGGCCAGGACCTCTGCCACGGTGACCCGTCCTCCCTCCTGGTGCCGGCCTGGACCAGCGATGTGGAAGCCATTGCCAAGCTTATCACTACTTTCCTGGAGCTGCACCGCCTGGAGAGTCCTGTGGAGCTGTCTCAGAGCAGTGACAGTGAGGCCGACGGCCCGGGAGACCAGAGCTGACCTCCATGGTGCCCCTCAGCAGGGTTCTGATGGAGCCCCAGCAGGACTGATGGGCCGCCTGCGAGTCCTCCTCCTCGGCTCTTGGCTGTGTCCCTGGCAGCCCCAGGGCAGGACCCTCAGCCATTCCTGCTGCTTGCTTCTGTCCTCCAAGCAAAACCACAGTGGGACCTTCTCTGCAGGCTGATCTGCCTCTTCCTGGAATCAGACAGCCTGCTGGGGCAGTAGCCTGGTGTGGACAGGCCAGACCTGCTAGCCATGTGGGGCTCAAGGCCTCTGAAATGGGATGGACACCCAGGATCCCAGGGCACGAGGTGTCGGACTGAGCTCTCTGGATCAGGGTCTTGGCCAGGACACTGTCCTGCAGGTTGCAACAAGGTTTTGGCAGGCGGGTGTGGCGCCTGACTGGGTCAGCCTCTGAGGATGCTCTCTGTTGTTGTTCCTGTGGATCCCAGTTCCTGCCCTGCTCCCCATGTTCATCCCTCCCACCAGCCAGACATCCGTCAGTGGTCGGAAGTGAGGTGCTCACCTGTGAGGTCCTGGTGCTCAGGGTGGATGCCAAGGGGCCCATTTGATTGGTGTGCTGTTGCCATAGTGAGGCCTCTACAACCCCAGATGGCTCATCTCGAGTCCAACTGAGGCAGGAATCAGATGGTGGGCTCCAGGTTAGACATTCACAACTGGCCTCCTGTTTGCATTTCATGGGGCAGGAAGATGGGCCTAAGGATGTATACCTACAACTAGGAACTTGTATTTCCTGAGACAAGAGATAGGTGGGCTCCAAGTAAGGCATTTAACTTTCCCAGGTGCAGAGCCATTTCGTGGGGCAGAAAGAAATGGGCTTCAGGATATATAGGTACAACTAGCCTCCTGTTTGCTCTCCACAATGGAATAACAACAGAAACAGGGTAAATAGCCAGTGTTTGTCTCTTTTAAGCACCTTAAGGTAATAGTCATGCAAGGACAAAGAGAGGCAAAACCCTGTGTTGAGTAAAGGATTAAGGGATGTCCACTCCTTCTTTTGGGGACAAGGGAGACACTGCAAATATGCAGAGAGGTTCCTAGGGGGTCAAAAGTCAGGGGATAATGCCAGGCCATAATGAGTCTTGCTCCTCCCAGAAGCCTTCAGTTGGAGATCTGTCTTGGCTGAGAGGTGCAGGCACACCCAGGGGAGTGTCTCAGGGTGGGTCAGGTGTGGAAAAGAAACCAGATAACTGGCTGAAGGTAAAGACCCGAAGAACTGACCTATATATGTGACTTAACCGCCTCTTTACAGCGCTCCTCCTCCTGAGGGGGACGCCTGCACCCTTTCTCTCTGGGTGTGCATCTCTGCCTTGCTTCTCCCCTAACAAACCAGTTCTGTGTGCTCTTCCGCTTGTTGTTACGTCTCAATAAACGTACCTGCATTAACAGTTTTTGCCTCCTTGATAAATGCATTTTTCACCAGGGGCAAAGATCAAGGGAAAACCAGCTTCTAGCCTTTTAGCCCTTGCTGGTCTGGTGGCCAGGATTGCTGGTTCTCATCCAGGATACCCAGGTTCAATTCCTGGGTGTTAAGGGAATTAAGATCTCACTTCATACCACCGCTCACTGCTGCCTCACCCAGATCACAATCAGGATTACAGCTGGGCTCTCACAGGGAGGATAACCTGCCCCTGCCCCCATTGTAGGCAGAGGTTTTCTCTTCAGTTCATTTGCTCAGTCGTGTCCGACTCTCTGCGGCCCCATGAATCGCAGCACGCCAGGCCTCCCTGTCCATCACCAACTCCCGGAGTTTACTCAAATTCATGTCCATCGAGTCATTTAAAAACGTGCACCCATCCTTTGGAACCCATATTCCCAGCTTCTCTCAAACCCTGGTGGTTGGGCCTGTTTGTATGTGGCCAGAATGGGCCAGGCTCATGACTGCCCCTCAGCAGGGCTTGGGCAGCTGGCTGCAGCCACCCCCATGGAATCTGGGTGCCAGTCACACTGACCCTCACCTGCGCTGTTGGTTTTCTTCTGCTTTCTCTGAACCCAAGTTCCTCCAAGGTATAGCATGTGCCAAGAGCATCTCTGGGGGAATCCACAAGGCTTACACTGGGAATGGCCTGGAAGACCCATAGACCCAGGGTTCCGAGGCTGCCTGGATGAGAGCAACTTCAGGGAACTCCAGAGAGAGGAGATCCTCTCCTTTCTAAGTAATGCTTGCCAGCCAGACCTATGGGGACACAGTCACTTAAACATGCCAAAGTTAGGTTTCCAAATGGTTAAGTCTGGAGTGCTTTTCTCTTAAAAGGTGTGATATGCTGTACACTGGTTTCTGGTGTGTTCATCCCAGGGCTGGAGGAGGCTCCAGGACCAGAGGGAGAGTGTTTGGCTGACTCTTCTCCCTGGGAGCTGGGTTGGGTGAGAAGGGTCTCCAGAGCATTGTGAGGGTCCCACTGTAAGCAGCCCGGGCCAGAGTAGTAATGAAGCCTTTCAAATTCCTAGCAGCATGATTTCTGGATTCCACTCTCCTTTTTATTTCAAAAAAAGTTCTAATGCTGATCACCGCATAGGCCCAGGGGGCCTTTTGCTTCCATATTTACTCTGTGGCTGCTGCCCGCTGGCATGGCTGTCCAGGACTCAGGAGGGGCGCATGGGGCCGGGTGCAGCTAGATGAGGGTGCTGGGCTGCTGAAAGCCTGTTCTTGGCCTCTCCCCTCAGGGGTCCTGACCTGAGTCCTGCCTGGGGCCGGCCGCCTCACCCAGGTCCTGTAGCAGAGCCTGCAGCCGCCGCAGGCTGGGGTGCACGTTCTCCTCCAGCCACTCCTCCACCGTGTCCGGGTAGAAGACACGCTGCAGGGCAGCCTCCAGCTCCCCTGCAAGGGTGTTCCACCTGGCCAGGAGACTGAGAACCAGTGAGACAGTGAGCCTGCCCAGTGAGGGCCCTGGGGCATACCTCATAGCCTCCAGAACCCCACAGGTCAGGACATCCTGGGCTTCAGTTTACTCATCCATGGAACTGGGCCCTTTGCACCGGCCTAATAAGGTTGTTGGGAATCAATGAGTGACTGTCAGTTTGACCTCTGAAACTAACAGGCACTTCACAACTGGCTGGCAGGGTTTTTCTTGGTGCCTGAACCTGCCATGACTGTTGAAGGCATCTTATACTAAGTGCGGACAGTCTGTGTTGGCCTCTGCTCACAGAGCTGGGGGAGTGGTGGGGAGGGCCGGCTGGGACCCTGTCCCCATGGTGACACATGCGGCCACAGCCCTAGGCAGTCTGGTCCTACCAGGAGCCCTGGACTTGGCTCAGGGCGTCTGGTGACCCTCAACCCTCTCAGGCAGGAATGCCCCAGCTTCTCTAACACCTAAGGGCACAGCTGATTCAGTCAGGTCACCCAGGAGTTGGTGGCTGTGATACCTAGTCAGCTGTCCAGAAGGCTACCAGTGCGCAGTGGAGGGTGGGCAGCCCCGGGGATGGACACAGCAGGGTGGGCCGTGGGCTACCTGAGTGCCTGGGGCTGGATGTGCTCGATCATGACCGGGTGGATGAGCTTCCTCCTGCGATGGTAGGGGCTGAACCAACCAGTCACATACCTGCAGTGGAGTGGGGGCCGGGGGGCAGGGGGCAAATCAACACACATAGGTGGGTGCACTGTGGCTCATAAGGCAGCCTCAGTGGTTGTAAAATAAGACCTTTGAAAATCTGGTAGACTTTTAAAAGTTGTTTTCCATCCAGGAAGCTTCCCTGCAGTATTAGGTGGCCCTTGCCCTGCCAAGAGGTGGTGGGGGTCACGGCCCTGCCTGCTCACCTGTCCCTCTCCAGCAGCACGTCCACGGAGCCGCACAGATGGAGGCTGACTTGTGTGACGAGGGCCAGGATGTTGCTGCCAGGGAAGGAGCCGGCGCCCTCACTGCACAGGGAGCCGACGTACTGAGGAAGGGCCCAAATGTGAGGGGAGAGGCAGGGCAGGGGGTGAGGGTGTTACCTCCTAAAATCCATTTCCTCCAGGCTCGAAACCCCAAGAAAGTTCTCCACTCTTGCTTTGACATTTTCAGCAAAGTCTCCTGAAACCAACCATAGATGGAAGTCAGAAGGGCCTCTGGAGGAGGTGGCCTGGACCCTGTGCTGGCTGGACCTCCCGGCCTTTGGGCATGGGTGGTGGGCAAAGCAGTCAAGAAGGACCACTGGCCAGGTCCAGCCACACTCATGCTGACCTCAGGGATGGATGAGCCCAAGGCCACTGCAGCCTGGCAGGAAGGTTAGAAAAGGGAAAAGTCCCAGTATCTGTCCTTCCACATCCTTGTGGCTCAGCACAATCCTAAGTGTGTTCATTATTCAGTCCTCACTTTCTTCAACCACCTTAACATCTTTCTGCTCCAACACCACATACATCATCAATTAAATTCCCACCTCATCTCAAATGGGAGTTTATATAACCAGGGCTTCGCCATCAAGCATGTCTGCTGGTTTCTTCCACCTCTAAGCATCTCTGCCTGCACCTGGCTGCTCCCACAAGAACTAGAAGTGAGGGAGCTGCCCTCGCTGGGGGCCATACCCACTAACCGGGCACTCAGGATATTTACCCAGTGAGGACGGGCCCTTTCCTGCACCCTGTCCATGATGAGCTTTCTTGTGGGCTCCCTCTGCCTGAGCGGCCCGTCCCCCTACCTTCCTGGCCTCTGTCTTGGGTTTAGGCTTGAAGACCCAGGCTGTACTGGGGTGGGTGGGCAGGTGAATCAGGGCCATGGTGTGTTCCCCTCGCCCTCAATGGTTGGAAGACCACAGTCCAGCCAGGTGGAGGTGGCAGTTGGAGGCCCCAGGACTTGGCTTCCTGGGAGGAGCAGGGGACCATACCGTGCAGCAGCACCTGCAGACAGACGGCCAGGGATGGGATTCCCACGGGCAGCAGCTCGCACAGCACGGAGAAGTGGTCATACCTAAGTCCGCGGGAGAGGGACTCAGTGGATGCTCGGGCGTGAGCCACCATAAGACAGGACAGGGATGGAGAAACTTCTGCTGCTTCCTGAAGCTTCCTTGGTTTTGTGGGTGTGCAGCTGGCAGTCACACTCGGATCCCACCCTGAGGGACCTGCCTGGGCTTAATGCTCTGCAGTTGCCACCTTGCAATTCTTGGGAGTTCATCTCTGACTCAGCTCTGTGAGGGCGGGCTGAGGGTCAGCAGCCAGCCCCGCCTCCAGTTGCCTCCCATGGGGTCAGGGCCTCCCGCTTTTGGTGTTGGGGTCACCTGGCCTCCCCCTCAGCATGGGACCTGAGGCCAGGACTTGCCTGGGACCAGTGGTTAACTTGTAACTCTATTTTTCAGATGGTGTGAAATTCTGAATGAGCTGAGGTCTGTCTTCACGCGTCTCCCAAAGTGGCCAGGGTGGTGTGAACACACAGAGACACGCATGGTGCAGAGCGTGCACCAGGAGGGCCAGTGCCCCGGGGCGCTAACACCCTGAGCCGCATCCCCTCAGCAGTGTGGTGTGAGGGGCTTGACCTCAAGGGGTTCGTTTTGTGTGACTGGTCCTCCCACACCCTCCTCAGAGTGCTGGCTGCTTCCCCTTGACAGAAGGAGAGAACTGAGGCCCAGACTGGATGGGCTGAGGAGGGCCATGTGTCCTGAGTGACGGGAGCCACTTCGACCCTACTGAGGGCATCCCTGGGGCCCATGTGGCCTCACCTCTGCCAGCCAGTCAGGATGATGCCCCGCAGCGTGTCCGCTGGCACGCTGCCCGCCACCTGCAGCCACTGCAGGTGGTTTCTGAGGTGGTGCTCGATGGGGGTCAGGCTCTGGTTCACTCCTGTGGCCCCCTTGAAGGCGCTGGCGGCCCAGAGCCAGGAGAAGCCGCTCTTCCGGTACTTCTCCACAAGGAGCGCTGGGTGAGCAAGTAAGAAGTATGAGTGGCAGGCCCTGAGGAGGTGTAGCTGCGAAGCCTGAGATACTCGCTTGTCTGGGTGGACAACCAAGAGGAGCCCATGGCTGGCAGGCTCCGTTCTGGTACTGACCTTTGCCGTGGATGTCCAGGTCAGCCCCATAGTCCCAGAGCACAGGCTCCACCAACTGCGGCACCCTTGACCCTGGGAGTGGAGAGAAGCCATGAGGGTGGGTCCCTTCAGCCCTCCATTCTTGCATTAAAATGGATTTAAGTACAGACTCCGTACTGCGCTAAGCGTTTGGTTATAAACGCTGCACCCGCCAGGCAGTCAGCTCTGGGAGTGACTGGACACTGCTGGAGCTGCTAGGGCCGAGCCCCAGGCCAGCGGCCCGGAGCTCCCTCGAGGGAGGGAGCTGCACTGTCTGCACGCGGGGCAGGCCCAGGTGCAGCAGGAATGCACCGCTAAGCGGACTTATTTATAGTGAATTAAAACCTAAGTGGCCACATGTGGTAATGGCTGCAGCCAGGACACTTGGACCTTGCAGAAGCATTCGTGGCAATCTCCCCGTCTCACCCCAGAGCCTCAGGCTGGGCCTTGCTGGGCTTGGTGGGGGCCTCTGCGTCCCTCAACCAGCCAGTGTGAACCTCAGTGGAGGCCCCTACAGGGCTGGCCATGCAGGCGCGTGTGGGGCTGAGGGCCCTAGAAGCACTGGATGCTCTCATGGTCTGCTGGTGGCCGCTGTTCCACAACCCATCCCCTGCTCCTGACAGTCGATGCCCCCCCCGGGCCTCATGCTAGCCTCCAGGTCAGGTCTCTCACAACCACCCTCCTGCAAGACCTTTTAGGGAAATAGCACTGTCATATGAGAAACACGTGAAAGTGGTCCTAATAAGGGAGTGGTCTGGAACTAGACGCTTCAGTGCAGCTCTATGACAGGGTCTAGGTCTCTCCTGAGCAGCTGGGGGCTCGGAGCACTTGGCTTCCACCGCTCGTGGCACCAGGAAGCCCCACTGCTGAGTGTGACCTGCACCACCACCACCCCCTGCTCGCCAGGGCCTTGGTCCACCAACCTGAGAGCTGGTCCTCGGGGATGTCCCGCAGCATGTCGTCCCACATCAGGGGTGTTGTGGTGGGGTACCGGGCCCGCACATGGCTGGCCACCGCCTCCATGTGGGACAGACACAGCTCTGCTTTGCTGTTGGGCTCCTGCTGCAACCACTGTCTCGAGGTCTCACCCTCTCCAAGGTAGTAGACCTAGGAGGAGACACAGGTGGGTTGGCCCCAGGACCATACATTCTCACCCATGGGTTCATGCTGTGGTCTGGGAGAATCTCTGGGCAGCTGCCCATGGGGAGGGGGCAGTGAAGGGTGCCCTTGCCTTCTGCACTGACACCCAAACTCAGCTCAAAGACTCCCTTGAGCCTGGGCACAGGAGCACCACAGGAGCCAGAAGGTAAAAATGACCAGATGTCCAGCAATACAAGATGGATAAACAGAGTGTGGCCTGTTCACATGCTAGAATATCACTCAGCTGCCATGCAGATGAATGAAGCTGGAGAAGGTAAATGCACGCATGGAGCAGCATTTCATTTATTGGGTGCTGGGGTGGGGGGATAATGCAGAGATGGAAAGGAGATATGGCTGCAGGGGCAGAGGGCGAGGGGGTGGGGAGATGAGAGGCCCTGCACTAGGCAGGGATGAGGGCTGCACAACACTGAGAATGACTAAAAAGTTACTGGATTGTTCACTTTCAATTGCTTTCAGTGGTAAATTCTATATTACGTGTATTTTATTTAAAAAAAGTTTTTTTTTTAAAAAGAGGATCAAACTCTGGAATAAAATGTCCACAAACCACTGTCCCAGCTCAGATGCCTGAGCTCAGACAAGCAGAGGTCTTTGGGTCACTGCTCGGTGGCTTGTAATCTTCCTAAGACCCTGGGTTTCTTGAGGACAAGTGGGGGCACCCCTGGGAACTGCCTTTCCAGCCAGTACTCCATGACCCTAAAGTGGTATTTCCTTTCTCTCACTGTCTGAAACTGCACTGCTTCAGGTGGAGAAAACTAACCGGCTCAAACTCATGGCCACCTTGGCCCCAAGGACATGAACGTGCGGTAACTAGGGGCTGCTCGGCTGTCCCGTGGGTGAACCCTACTGCACCCTGCTTGGCTCAGCAAGTCTGCCCACAGGAGATCACTTGTCAGCTGGGGCCAAGGCCCTCACTGGGGCACATCTCAGCCAGCCTCTCTTTATTCCTGGAACTACTTTTCTATTTAAGAGAAGACCCCACGAGGTGGGAGCAGGTGACCTTGAGACGAAGAGAAGGGGCTGCCGCAGACTTGGGGGAGCTGCCTGCTGGCAAGGGGAGGCACCTACCTCGTCACAGCCGACGTGGAGCCACCGGGCGCCCGGGTGCAGCTCCATTACCTGGTCGATCATGGTTCTGACCAGTGCCAGGGACTCCTCTTTGTGGGGGTTCAGGGTATTGGGGAAACGTGCCACTTCCCGGAGGTGAGCAAGAGCTTCATGCTTCAGCACAAACTGCGGGGAGACAACAGGAAAGCTGGCAACCCTGGGGAGAAGCTTGTGCCCGAGCTCCCCGCAGTTGGGCTCCTGCCCCAGCACCCTACCAGCCTCGTGTCCATTAGAGTTCCCAGAGGGGCCACTGGGGCTGCCCTGGGCACGAGAGCCAGGGTTCTGAGCAACCTGGCTGCTTGGTCAACAGCCCTTTTCCTTTCCACCTCTAACTGGGCTGAGTAAGAAAGTGGACAAGACAATCTCCCTTCACAACAGAATTACATCTGGGTGGACTTCTTGCTCAAGTGAAGAGGCTGGCAAACTACCCACTTCCCACCACCCTGCCCAACACACACACACACACACACAAAACAAGTACAAAGTGGAACCATTTGTCAGAAACAACAACTTCAGGCCTCCAGAAACCAACCAAAGGTGAACAACAAATTGGGAAATGTTTGTTCATGAAAGACTGCCACAACTTTGGGTAAAAACAGAGATTCTGCAGCTACACACACACACACACACATACACACACGGGCCCGAGAAGGCTGGGTGGAAAGCAGAAGCCACGGCAGATTGAGCACTGGCTGAGCTCTTAAGTATGGCACCCCAGCCTCTGGGGTACAACGTGGAGCCTTACAGTCTTGGGCACAACTACTGCCCAAACTGCATGGAATCACCAGCTGTCAAGACAGAAGAGTGACCCCCTAAGAGCAAAAAATAAAAACAAGAATAAAAACCCAACAGAGGCATCTGTGGCCACACACAGCTGGGGAGACAGATTAAATCCAGGCAATTTACAACCACCCATGGGGGAAGAAGTCAGATTCACTATAACATATGATCTGAAATGTCCAGTTGTCAACCAAAAATTGAGACATGCAAATAACTGGAAAGTGGGATGGACACTCAAAGGAAAAACAAGTCTATGGAAACTGACGCTGAGAGGGCCTAGATGCTGTATTTATCAGACAACAGCTCCTCAGCTGTTCACAGAGCCTCTCTGTGCAGCACTGAGCTGCCCCCTGCAGGTGGGTGGCCCTGCCCATGCACCCCTCAACTCCACACCCGGGTGCGAGGTAACTTCCCTTCTTCCCACTTACCTCCATGTGCCCAAATGTCTGCACCAAGGGAATGACCTCCAGCTCATTCAGTGTGGCCAAGTGCAGGATCTCTTTGATTTCGGAAGGGCTAGAGAGACAAAGACCACCCTAAGAGGTGCAGGCTGGCCTCCATTTAGGCTCCCAATCCTCGCTTGTCAGGTTCCTGGGGGACTCTACTGAGGAAACCAGTAGGATCACTAACTCTGAAAAGCCCAACAGGTATTCTTAAGTTTTCAGAGAAGACTTCCATGCTACAGTTCAGGAAAACAATGCTCTGTTATATCATCAAGTAACAGTTTACTTCTTACCAACTATTCTGACTCAAACTCTACAAGAAGCTAAAGTCATTTTACCAGAAACTGAGCCACACAAGGAATCATAGTCTAGAACAACGGTGGCAAGACAGGGCCTGAGGGTAAATTCACCGCTTGTTTCTGTACAGCCCATGACCTAAGAATGGTTTCAACATTTAAAAATTGTTGAGAATGATCAAGAGAAGAAAAACATTTTGTGACCTGTAAGAATTGTATGGGAGGGCTTCCCTGATGGCTCAGCGGTAAAGAATCCACCTGCCAATGCAGGAGACACGGGTTCAATTCCTGGGTTGGGAAGATCTCCTGGAAATGGCAACCCACTCCAGTATTCTTGCCTGGGAAACCCCATGGACTAGAGAGCCTGGCGGGCTACAGTCCATGGGCTGGCAAAGAGTCGGACATGACTGAGTGTCTGACAAAAGAACAAAAATTGTATGGAATTCATCCTTCAGTTTCCACAAATAGGGTTTTATTGGGTCATAGCCATGCCTACTCATTATTATCACCTGTGGCTGCTTTTACCCCACAAACAGTTGTAACAGAGATGAGATGGGCTGCAGAGACTGGAATATCTACTGTCTGGCCCTTTACAGAAAAGACTGGTGACCCCTTTAATAGAATTCCAAGACTAGGTGGAGTGGGTCATCTGAGGCGGTTAGTAACCCCATCTACTGGGGCTTTCCAGGCGGCTTAGTGGTAAAGAATCTGCCTGCCAATGCAGGAGGAAATGCAAGAGACGTGGGTTCGGTCCCCAGGTTGGGAAGATCACCTGGAGTAGGAAATTGCAACCCACTTCAGTATTCTTGCCTGGAAAATTTCCATGGACAGAGGAGCCTAGCAGATTATAGTCCATGGGATTGCAAGGAGTCAGACATGACTGAGCACGCGTGCATTTGTTTATCCATCTACAAATGGATAAAACCCTTGGAAGGAAGTCTCTGTCAGCACGCCTGAGTGTTCGCCCAGGTCAACATCCTGCCACTGAGGATGCCATCCCGGAAGGGCCCCTGACCACTCTGCTCTGAGTTGTCATTTATGAATTCATCTCGATTTCTGTGTTTGAACCATCTCTAAAGTTAGCCAGTTTTATAAATGAACTGATTATATAAGGTTCTATCTTTAAATATACCTTTTTCAAGCTTCACTGGAACCCTGGTACCTTTTTCACTTTTAAAAAACAAAGGAACAGAACACATTTGTTGTACCAAGAAACACGAATACCTCTGCCATCATACCACATTAATGCTCTGGATCACGCCTTTCCTGTTTCCCATTCACAGGAATGGGAAGTGTGTTGGGAGTTCTGTCACATGGAGCCAAGCGCCCTCCAGAATGGTTAGGCTGCTCCATAGCCCACCAGCAGGAGGCTAGTTTTTGCTCACCCTCGTGGACACAGAGCACTAACATTTTGTTTTAAAAGCTTCTCCAATTTGGTAGCCAAAATGGCATTTCATTGTTCTTTTATTATCATATACTTCTTTCTTTTGGAGGGGATCAAAATGTTCTTTGTCCAATTTTCCTTTGGGCTATTTGTTATTGATTTACATGGATACCCATAATTTTAAAGCCAAGTGCGGTATGCCCATGACCATGCTATCTGACTTTCCTGATTCTGATCCTTTCCCCGTTAATCCTCACTTTTCTGGTGAAGATCCCACCCGGGGCCTTAAAGACCCTCCCTCCTTCTCCTGCATGGACACCTGTCAAAGTGTCCTCCATGCATTTCACATCCACAGACAAGACTGAAACATATCACAGCACTTCCTTCTGGGGGATCATTTGTGGTTGTTGTTGCTCAGTCGCTAAGTCATGTCTGATTCTTTGTGATCCCATGGACTGCAGCATGTTAGGCTTCCCTGACCATCACTATCTCCTAGAGCTTGCTCAAACTTTGTCCGTTGAGTCAGTGATGTCTTCCAACCACCTCATCCTATGTTGCCCACTTCTCCTCCTGCCCTCAATCTCTCCCAGCATCAGGGCCTTTTCTAATGTATCAGCTCTTCACATCAGGTGGCCAAAGTATTGGAGCATCAGCTTCAGTCCTTCCAATGAACACCCAGGACTGATTTCCTTTAGGATGGACTGGTTTGATCTCTCTGCAGTCCAAGGGACTCTCAAGAGTCTTCTCCAACACCACAGTTCAAAAGCATCAATTCTTTGGCACTCAGCCTTCATTATGGTCCAACTCTCACATCTGTACATGACTGCTGGAAAATCCATAGCTTTGACTATAAGGATGCTTATTTTCTTTTAAACATTTCCAAATTCTCTTCAGTGAACGTGCTTTATTTTTATGATTACAAACATGCATTTAACAATTCTTATCTCCCCTTCCCTCCCCTCCAGGTTGCTGCCCTGCACATCCCATTTTCTCTACAGAGGCATCACCCTGCTTGGCAGCTCAGATACCTGTACGCATGCTTGGCCCTCAGCAGCCTCAGGTGGCCCTCATAGGGAAACATGTCTTCATACTCAATGAGGACGCCATTTGCACCCAGGGCACGGAACAGGGGGAAAATCTGGGGAGGAGACAGAAACATCACGAAAAAATGACTATTTGAATGGAAAACGACACACATGCAGGTCACAGACTCATTCTTTCAGCTGATGGACATGGATTATAGCTGATCTTTGGATTGATAATTCTCCTGGAAACTTTCCACCTGATATGTGTACTCCTGTGTTATGCCAACTAAACACAAACACAGTGACATGTTCACTTGACACAAGGGACGGGGTTTCTGCATGCTATAGAATAGCAGCTTCCTGGTGGCTTAACTCGGGAGGGAGGGCTGGGCAAGCAGGGTTAGATGGCACCTCATCTGGATGAGACTTGCAGCGTGGGGGCCTCCTAGAACACAGGGAAGGGGCAGGCTGGGGCGATGGGAGCCTACAGGGCTCTGGAGGGTTAGTGGTGAGCACCTGGAAGAAACCTAGAGAAGGGAGACGAAGGAGGAAAGAGGTTGTCCCTCTGTGCTCACGGGGTTCCTGCCCTGGTGCTCTCCCATTTCTTTCTCCACCTTTATCTCGAGAACATGGACTCCTATCCTCCAGGACTTTTAGGGCTGTATCTACTGTACACAGCACTGAGATCTTCTTCTAGCCTGGCATCACAGGCAGGGGTGGGGGGCTCCTTCACGTATTTAGAATATAAAACCACCCCCAGACAAGGGCCACTACAGGTTTTACACAATTTGTAGCACTCTCGCTGATGTTACTGTCAACGTTTTCTTTCCCCAAGAGTATGGGAACATTCTTAAACATGCTGGATAGAAGAAGGAAATCAGCTTGGGACCAATAATTCGCTAGGATCATTTATAAAATGGGTCATCAATAATTGACTGCAAATTATAAGAGGAGGCTGATTGTTGGAAACGAGTCAGACTAACCCAGGTCTGTCACTTGCACAAATGAAACATAATGGTTACAGCATTTCCATATTTTCTGCAGTGTTTTTGTTCCTGGTATCCCTTGTAGCCTTTGGCCTTCTGACCATTGGGTGGCCTCTTTGGCATTTCTATTGGGGCTGGTAGAGATCCTTGGTGCTCTGGGTGGCTGACAGGCTGCTAAGCTCAGCCTGAGGGAGCCACTCAGCAAATCCTCGGACAGGAGGAATAAGAAATTGTTGTCTGAACCTGACTCTGTCCATTAGCAGCAGCAGGGGGCTCCAGCTACACATAAACTAGGTCTTCTTTGCCTGTCTTTCACATCTATCCATTTGTCACCGTGCTTTTCTCTCTTCATGTTTGACTTTATTTTCTTGTCCGCTGTTGCTTTCTCAATACTGGTTCCCATGGCGTTTATTCACTTTTGTCCTTTTTCTAGTTTAGTCTCTATTTCTGATTTTTTTTTTCTTATAATTCATCCCTGAGTCTGGAGGCAATCTTTTCACAATCTACTTCTGTCTGACTGTTGCTTTCTGGACTTTTTAAAATATTTATTTGGCTACCGTGGGTTCTAAGAGCGGTATGTGGGAATCTTTGATCCTCATTGCGGCACGGGGGGTCGTTAGTTGCAGCATGTGGGACTGGGCTTTTCTAACTTTTGGTGTTCTTCCATAGCTTCTATCACTTTCTTAGTATCTCTGATCTCGTTCTGAAATATTAAAGAACTGTGTCATCTGCTTTGTAGTCACGTGGTCCTGGTGCACCTTCACGGTTACTCAAATCATTGTCCTCTATTTTCTGGCACTATTTTAGTATGGCACAACCACACAATCCTTTCCGATTGCTCATTTTACAATGAGATGTGTTTTCTTCTATTTTGGAGAGCAGGTTCTAATGTTTGGGATGGAGCTGGGCCAGCCCAGGCTCCCTCTGCAGCTGTTACATAAAGGATTAGCAGTTTCGGACTTTGTGCAGCTACTTCCATAGCACTCAGTCTTCACTCCCTCTGGATCCTGTTCCTCCAGCATTTGAAACTTCTCTCTCCTTTACCTCAATGTTACTCCCCAGTTCAAGATGGAGTCTTTTCCCAACATTGCATTTTGAGTGTGGGATTCTGTCCTTCTGGAAGAAGTTTCTGGAAAGTATTTTGGAATGCCTTGAGGTCTTGAGCACTCATCCTCAATTTGGAGTCAGTGACATCTCATCCAGTTTCTGACTTACCTTTATTTGTTGGGCTATTTTGTGGGTTCCCTGGTCTTGAAGTCATCTTGAATTTTTTTTTTAAAATATTTATTTTTATTTATTTGACTGCACTGGGTCTTAGTTGCGGTATGTGGGATCTTTGATCTTCGCTGTGGCATGCAGACTCTTATTTGCATCATGTGGGATCTAGTTTCTTGACTGAGGATCACACTTGGGCCCCCCCTCTCCCCCAAGCATTGGGAGCTTGGAGTCTTAGCCACTGAACGACCAGGGAAGATCCTAAATTCTTTTTTATCTTTTCTCTACCATCCCCTGCCCAGCTGCTAACCCCACAGCCATGTTGAGCTGTCCATGGTTTGGCCCTGCCCCTTGCATTTTGGCATTCACAGGGAAACCCTGATAACCTACATTTGTTTTAGAGTACATGCTTTTCCTGTGGCTGCCATAACAAGTCATCACAAACCGGGGGGCTTGAAATAGTAAGAATGTATTCTCTCACAGCTTGGGAGGATGAAGCCCAAAATCTAGGTGTCAGCAGGGCCATGCTCCCTCCCAGGCTGTAAGGGGCATCCTCCCTGTCTCTTTCAGATTCTGTGAGTTTCTGGCATCCTTAAGCCTCTTGGGCTTGCAGATGCATCGATCCTAGTCTCTGCCTCTGTCTTCATGTGGTACCTTTCCTATGTTCTCATGTCATCTTCCCTGTGTCTATTGTCCCCTCTCCTTATACAAACACCATTTTTTGGATTAGAGTTTACCCTGTTCCCATATGACCTCATCTAACGTCAGAGACATCTGCAAAGGCCCTATCTTTAAATCACAGGTCACATTAATAGGTCCACAGGGTTAGGATTTAAACATATCTTTTTAGGAGACACGATTTGGTTCACAACAGAGGTTGTGGGTTTTTGTCTTTTCTGTTTTTCCTTTTGCTATCCTGGTTGCTATCTGCTTTGTGAGGGGATATGGGGGAAATTCAAGATCTACGCTGCTGCCACCACGCCTCAACTCGGAACCCATGGTTGTGTTCCAAGAATGTATCTACAGAACGCTGTTCACAACTGCATAACCAAACCCGAGCAAAGTGATTCTCTAGAGAAGAAAGGGAGCTCTTACCTCCGAGAGGTAGCAGACCTTTGGTGGGGCTCCTTTCAGGTCCAGATGAACTAGTCGCATCTTAAATGGTGAGGAACCCGACATCTCACTATTTTTTGAGAAGTCATATAACTAAAAAATCTCTTTTCTGGGCACTTCTTCCTAGTGCAGAAATTCAGGCTTATGTCCTTCCAATGTCTGTTTCAATTCTGATATGAACTAGGAGAAAACTCATGTTCAAATACAAGGACCCTTGTCATACAGCACTGGTTTCCTTATAAGATGGCTATAATCTACAATAATACAAATGACTGCAAAATAATCTCCTGTTTTAAAGACTGTCTTATCCTATATATACTATGCCAGTGAAAACAGGCAAATATCTCTTAAACATTTTTCAGGCCCCACAATATGATGCTTCTGTAGAAAACTGATTCTCAATTTTATTCTACTTTAAATAGTATTAAAAATAATTTGCATTTTTAGAGTTTGAGTCAGCTTGGTTGCAGGGAGGGAGAAACTGTAAAAATTTATCCTAGGTCAGAGAAAACTGTCTAGGATTTAAAATAGGCCATTGATAATTTAAAAACAGGTAAGTCACAAGTTTATCAGTGCTGACTAATTTATGTTAAACTAGAGGAGGTATCTGGATGAAGCATAAAACACACAGAATTAGACAGGAAAAGAAAAGAAAATCTCTGTATATTGGTCATATATTCAGCTCCACAATTCAAACTACTCATTCTGTGCAAAGATTCATAAATCCCTAACCTTAGGGACTTTATAATATAGCAAAGACAATAACATAATGCACATAGAAATCAACCAGTTTGATTGAAAAAAATAAATTATATTCAAAACAATCTCAATGACAAAGTTCTTAAGGCAATTACCTAAACTGCTATCTGAGAAGTGGATGAGTTTAAGACAAAGCATTTTGAAAAACTGAAATGTTTCAAAGCTGAGTTGCTTTACATTTTGAAAAAATAAATAATAAAAAAGAAAACTCATAACCCAAATGTATTTTCTAGAGAATAGAGTTAAAAGAAAAAATTTTGAGCTGAGAAGTCTGTATTAGTCCTGGGTGTGCTTCCTTGTGTTTAGAGAGAAATCTTCTTACTTTTCCTATAGCCCTACAGCAGGAATGAACACCGACATCTTACCTGATTCAGACACATTCAGACTTGTTTACCAAAGTAAATTGCTGCAAAATCTAAAGGGAAAGGAGAGAGAGAAGTTAGTATTCCCTCTTGCAAGTGTGTAGTTCTTTACTTTGATTCCCTCCTGCACGAGGTCTATAGAAATATGATTATTTCAGACTTGGGTCAATTGTCACCATTGTTATCAGACAACCTGGTAGGTAGGTCTGCAATTGTCCTGGTCTCTTGGGCTTCTAGGTAAGTTGCCAGGCGATGGCATCTGATTTCCCCAGTTTGGGGATTGTTGGGCAGATCTCTTTTCTTGTTCAATGAGTCCAGGTTTTTTTTTCCCCCTCTGTGTCAATAAATTACTTACCTTCTTTAGACTTAATCCTTATGAATGAACCTCACCGCTAATTCCACTCATTCAGAATCTTAGGTATCTTGACAGGACTGGTTAAGATCTTACTTCTTGCCCACTGGACAGGAAACTGAATGTTGTAAACTAAACAGCAGGCCTCACAGATACTGAGCACCAATAGGACCCAGTGCCCTCAGGTGTGGCATGGGCCCAGGGAAAGGAGCGTTGGAAATCCCACAGGAGAGGGTGCGGAGACCCTGGGAGGAGGGCTTGGACACCGCGGGGAGAAGGCTTCAAGACTCTAGGAGGAATTGGAAACCCCGATAGAGCACGCACGGCGGGGCAAGGACACACTTCAGTAGAAGGTTCGGAGGCTCATCAGGTTCCGCGGAGGTCAGGTGAGGCGGGCTACGGCCAAGGCAGGTGAGCCGCGGGGAGCAAGCCAGGTCCGCGCTCGGGTCCCCGCCCCGCCCCGCTCGGCGCTCGACCTCCGATTGCTCAGGCCTGGTCACCAGCCCGGAGGTTGAAGGCTGAGGGTGTCGCTTCGTGTGCCCGGCCGCGCCGGCCTCGCGCTACCTCTCGCAGCACTTGTCCCGGGCTTGTGGCAGGTCCCGCATTCGGCCTAGCTTCGCGGCAGCGTGGCTAATGGCACCTCAGCGGAGGGGTGCTCCCAAGGCCCCCGAGAGCAGCGGGGCGGCGGAGCGCCGGCGCCAGAGCAGGTACCAGACAGCGCCAGGAGCGCGCGTAAGGTGGTATGGGCGGGGCCTGGACGAGGGGCGGGGCCTAACAGGGGCGTGGTGTGGTGTGGTGTGGCTGTGGGCGTGGCCCGGTCAGAAAAGGGTGGATCTGGTGCAGGCAGGGCCTTTCCGGGAAAGGCACTGCAGTGTGGGTGTGGCCTGGCCGTAATCGGGCGCCTAGAGGGGCGTGGTCGTCCGGAGGGCGTAGCTTGCAGAATCCAGCCCGGACCGCGCAGGAAGGGGTTGGGCGGGGTTGGGCGGGGTTGGGCGGAGCTGGCGGTTGGGAAACCTTCCCTGACCTCCTCTCCAGTGTGTACCGAGGACTTTCTGCCGAGACTACGCACGGGGACTGGTACTCAGAGGTCCCCATCGTCTGGTCTCCGTGTGCTTTTCTCAGGGCTGTGCACGTGATGGTTCTCCGTTGGGGGACCCGATGAATGAATAAATGATCTCATACGGTTGCCTTCGAGGGGATTCTGCCTGAAGCTTTCAGAGCCGGAGTGTATTCACTCCAGAATAAATTACCTTCTCGTCGTGCTTGCCCCATGGGCCATGGACCTTGCTCCAAACCCACTTCTGTCTTGGCAAGATTCTCAGTGTGCATTTGGGCCAGCTTACCCTGAACAGGGGTGCTTATTTTGAGGACACCTCAGGGAAGTATTGTTTCCAAACCTGGCCCAGGACGCTGTTTTTTCCCCTTTAGTCTCTACCTCTCTCTCCGTCCCTTTCTGTCTCAGCACTCGGGGTGTCCCAGGCGAAGGTGTCAACAGCTTTGTGTCCACAGTAGGATTTCAGCCCCTGCTGCTGAGATGGGCTGGCAGTCTCCCTGCCCTATTGGGGAAGAGAAATATTGGCCCCACTGGAGTTAGGGGTCCACCCTTGTGTAGTTAGAGGAGACCAGGTGGGCTAGAGGCTAGACAGCAGTTCTAGGGGTGAGGGTGGGGGGATCTTTATGCTCCCTGTTTAAAATGACCATGTAGTGCTTGCTTCGGCAGCACATATACTACAATTGGAACGATACAGAGAAGATTAGCATGGCCCCTGTGCAAGGATGACACGCAAATTCGTGAAGCATTCCATATTTTTTTCATGTCAATGTATGGCAAAAACCACTACAATATTGTAAAGTAATTAACCTCCAACTAATACAAATAAATGAAAAAATAAAATAAAATCAAGTCTTACTAGTGAATAGGCAAAATAAAATAAAATGACCACGTATCCCCAATATGGTCTGACTCAGCTGTGCCCACATTGAGACTTATTTAATCGGAATTTGTGTGTTATAAAGTAAAAGTGTGAAAGTGTTAGTCGCTCAGTCATGTCCGACTCTTTGCAACCCCATGGACTGTACCCTGCAGGCTTTTTTGTTCATGGAATATTCCAGGCAAGAACACTGGAGTGGGTAGCCATGCCTTCTCCAGGGGATCTTCCCAATCCAGGGATCAAACCCTGGTCTCCTCCATTGCAGGCGGATTCTTTACCCTCTGAGCCAGCAGGGAAGCCCGTGTGTGTTTTATATATAAAGCAATTTGAAATGTGGAGGGACATATAAAAATAGAAGGCAGACTCCCTGCTTTTCAGGAATTAATCATATACTTGAAGATACGAGGTGCACCTCCTGAAAGAATGTCCGGATTGCTTTTCTCATTCCTGCCAGTCCTTCAAGCCCTACACATTTTTCTCAGTTAACAGAGTACACAGCTGCTCAGTTACACATATGAGAAAACACATACACCATCTGAACACACATAGATACACGTGTGCATGCACACACACACACACACACACACACATAGAGACATGCCTGCAACTTCTGCAAAGGCGGTGTGAATCCAACAGTTAACCCAGGTGGTACAGAAAGTGCCTTGGTGTTGAATCATTTCTGTTGTACTTGCATTCCCTTCCTGGCTGGCTGGTGATTTCAGTGAAATGAGTTTGGTTCATATTTACCTTAGTTCACCCTGGTAGCTCAGCTGGTAAAGAATCCCCCTGAAATATAGGAGACTTGTGTTCGATCCCTGGGTTGGGAAAATCCCCTGGAGAGGGAAAGGCTACCCACTCCAGTATTTTGGCCTGGAGAATTCCATGGACTGTATAGTCCATGGGGTTGGAAGAGATGGACACGACTGAGCGACTTTCACTACCTTAGTTCACATTGTGTGTGAGTGTGTACCCTAGGGCCAATGCATGGGGTTGTGTCAGTTATTTTCAGATGCAGGCAATGTGATTGATGTCACAGGCTCTGTCAGGATCTCCCAGATGGTTCTCCATGGACATGGGCAAGCTGGAAGGGACCCCGACTGGCAGTTCATCTTGTCCTCAGGGGCATAGTGAGCCCTGTCTGGTCATATGGAGCAAGGGGCACATTTCCCACCATGTCTTCCTATGCTGGCAAGTGCCTTTGGATTGATGGAGAGTAGCTCTGATGATGACCATTGTGGGAACCGTTTAAGGCTGTAACTAAGTGTGGGTGTGGCCTCTGGTCATTGTGGTCTGTGTTTTCAGCACACGCAGTTGCCTTCGGGTGACCACAGCTGTTTTCTGTTCTCAGCACCAAGAGTATCCGGGCGCCTCAGGATGTGCGCAAGAAGTGGTTGAGAGTCGCTGTCCTGGGGTCCTGCACTGCGCTCGCCGCCTGCCTGTTCTGGGGCAGCCTTGGGGGTGATGACGGCATCACTGAGGTCCTGGCTCACCGCAGCGAGATCCTGCCAGGCAGGTTCATCGAGGTGCCCTGCTCTGAGGACTATGACAGTCACCGAAGGTTTGAAGGTACGCGGTGCCGAGGTGATTCAGGAAAGAGCAGCATGTTAACATGGAATTCAGTGTGTTCAAAATGCGTCTTTTTTTACTTCGATGAATTGGTGGGAATCAGGTTGAAAGTAGTGTGGTGTGGGGTGGGGCAGGTGACCTTCCTCCCCTCCCCCACGCCCCCCAACGTTGGTTAGCTCACACCTGTTCCGGGAAGTGTGAGTGTTTCAGGCCCCACCTGTGTAGGGGCAGGCCAGGCTTCACTGTCCAGGCTATGGCCAGTGTTTTACTGAGGTGCTCCCCACCTCAGTGTGGATTCCATCTGGTGGAAGAGGTGGTTTGCTTGGAAGAATGTAGCAGAATTGGGAAAATATCAATGAGCAGGTTGAACTGAGAAAAGGCATTTTCTGTCTTAGGGGATTGTTACATTAGAAAATGTTGCAACAGGGCAACAGGAAATGTGATACCAGAGTCCGCTGTCCCATCCTGGCGCCTGCCTGCTCTGTGGAGGGCAGCAGTTTTAAAAGCCTAGCCAGAGTGAGTGGGTCTTAGAGACAGAATTTAGTTTATTTTTCTATTCAGAGCAATGCTTTGGACTTGAACCAAGAAAAAGATTGCTGAGTCATTCCACCAAGCGGCGCTGTTGTGATACGCACAAGTTGGGTTAAAGTGAATGGAGGTGTGTGGGCCCCTTGGCAAAAATGGACATGCTGAGGAACTGGGGTTCCCTTTCCCCTCTGGGGTCAGGAGTGGACAGGTTCTGTTGTGGGCATGCTGTCTCTGTCTTGGTGAGCTTTTTCCCTGTAAAGTCCCAGCTTTTGACAGAGTATATTTTTTCTGTGCTAAGTCGCTTCAGTTGTGTCCGACTCTTTGTGACCCTGTAGACTGTAAGCCCGGCAGGCTCCTCTGTCCACGGGATTCTCCAGGCAAGAATACTGGAGTGGGTTGCCATACCCTCCTCCAGGGGATCTTTCCTACCCAGGAAGTGAACCTGTGTCTCCTGCATTGCAGGCGGATTTTTTACCGCTGAGCCATTATTTCTCATACCCCTTTAATAATTTATCAACATTAAAAACAGTTGGAATGAGGCAGAGGAGGAGTTGGTATAGATGGAGATGGGATTTCAGTTGGGAAGGTGAGAAAGATCGGGAGATGATGGTGGTGTTGGTCACACAAAAATGTGAATGTAGTTAATGCCCCTGAGCTGGCTAAAATGGTAAATTTGGGGTTTTATATATTTTTTACCAGAAAAACACAGCGTCAAAGTCTCTGGACTCCCCCCTCTGTTACCCTTCTTGCCTCCCATAACTGACAGGGACTCTGCCTGCCCTGGACCTGTGTGTCTGGTAGGCACATCTGCATGGTTGTGTCCTGTGCCCTTGTGTATATGCACGGACATCATCAACCACTCACAACTCACTTTCTTGTCCAAATGATACTCAACGCTCATTCACAGTCAGCATGTTGTGTCGCTGCTGGATTTTCAGATTTCAGGGTTGGTGGAGTTTGAATTCTCTCTAAACCCTTCTCTAATAACCCCCAAGTAGAAGTTTATTTTTTCCACATGATGAGACCCAGAGAAAGTCACCCCAGGTCAGCCTGGCTCCCTATGAGCCCTTTGTGCTGAGCCCCCAGCTCTCCCCCTCAGCATGTGGTTTATGTGGTCCCAGGACACCTCCAGGCACGTTTCAGGCAGGAAGAGGGGAAGGAGGATGAAAGCTAAAGGTCAGCCAGCCCAGCGTGTCCTCAGAGTATTCCATTGGCCACATATCCTATGGTCCATCCAGCTCGAGACAGTCAGCCTGCCCTTTGCGCCAAGACACAAGGCACTTGCTGAGCTCGTCCACCTCTGGTGCTCTGCCTCATCCTGGGCCCATCCATCTGACCCTGGCCCTGTCCACCCTGACCCTGGCCACTTTACCCCTGGGCCTGTCATGCTGACCCTGGCTGTGTCCCCTGCTGGCCCTGAT